AACAACAAACACACCTTTACAAATGTTTAGTAATTACAATCTACAAACACAAACTTCTAGATAATTGCTGGCTTTTTATTCTTTGCATACCTTATTTCTTTTTTCTTTCCCAGTGTTCTGGCAGTGGACCTTTTAACTAAGGGCAGATTACTAGATCTCCCTTTACTTCATAGAACTCTGGCACATGTGACTAAGACATGTGACTATGCACATCATCTCAGGGGAGGAAAATGCCCTTCCCTGAGATCTTTCGAGATTACATGAGATGAGATTCCCCAGCAATGCTCTGCTGATGTAACCGTGCCAGGATGCAATGCTTTGGCACATTACATCATTTGTGCCAGAGGTGGACCAGGAAGTTGAGGAACTTTATTTGTAAGTAAATGAAAAACATGTTTGTTTAACTAATGAATGTAATATGATTTTAAATCAGAGTTGCATGCTAATGTGATTTTTAGTGAAAGGGGGTAAAGGTCCACTTTAACAACAAGTAAGATAGGGGGAGTGTGTGACGAGATCTGTGTCCTGGCAAAAAGTTTTCAAGAGAGTGTTTTGCATCATAGGGGATGATCAAGGGTGTAGTAAAATTATAAAATAGTGAAGCTGTAGGGCAGCGGTGGCGAACCTAAGGCACGCGTGCCAGAGTGGGCACGTGGGGCCCCCTCTGCTGGCTTGCGAGCCCAAGTCCGCATTATAAAAGGGACGCAGCGATAGCGGTCCCAGTCCAATTAGTAGTTAGTAGTTAGTAGTTCCCTCTCTCCCCGCTGAACTGGCAGCAGAAGAGAGGGGACTATTTCACCATTTTCGGCTGCCGCGGAGGAACACGGAGAGCTGCGGCAGCCGACAATTAAGTATTCAAAGCCTGTATTCATTAAAATCTCCGGCTCAAAAAGGTTCACCATCACTGCTGTAGGGCCTTCCAAAAATTAAGTGCTGGGTCCAACATGTGTTGGATTTAGAACATCTGTTTAATTCTACTAGTACCAGAACAGTCTACAGTACCAGTAGATTAGGATTGATTAGGAAGAAATTTGGTGAGAGTGTTGAGAGGGGAAACCTGGGATAACCATGTCAGCCCTGATGTGTCTTAGGATGGGTTTTACCAATAAGGAGTGCAGTTGGTCAGGGGGGAAAAATTAGATTGTGTAGTTGACTTTGACCCGAGCAGATGATTTGGAGTAAACGTCTTGGAATCAGGATCTCATGTGTGGTCCTCCAGCGCTTACTGGTGGAACGAACGGGGGAGGGGCGGGTAGAGCTGGCTCTGCCTCTAGATAGGCAGAACCAGCTGTCACTCACGCAGCTGGGTGGATCTCGACAGTAATACTGATATACAGCAGCGACCTCAGTATACCGCGAGCTGTAGCTCGCGGTATACTGAGCTTTGGGTCACGGGAGGATGCTAGTTTATGTCCTCCCGTGACCCTTAGGAGAACTATTGGGAAAAACACTTACCCCATAGTTCTCCTTTAAGACTGTAAGATTTAATGGTCTAGTTTGGTTATATTTGGGGGAAGGATTAGCACCAACCATATGAGGAGTGACACTTTGGGGTTGATTTACTAACCTTATAAACACACCACGAACATGTATACACCTCTGTAGTGTGTTCCCTCCCAGCATGATCTATGGGTGGAATCTAAACACCTTTGTAGTGTGTACACACCCAGCAGGTGTGTTGTGCAAAGCCCTGCATGAATTGCAAGGTGATCTTGTGTAAATTAGCTCTATGTTGTGTTGCTTGCGTTGATGAATGCAGGAATGTAAATGCATGAGCTAACCATTTTTGTCTAAACTGTGAAGCAGCATTATATATGCATCATGTGCATGATTTTTCCATATATGGCATTAGTGGAAATATGCTTTTAGAGACTTTTTGGTTGATAAATACGTTTTGCTGTGTAAAAATCACACGCACCTAGTGCGTGCGTGTGTTTAGGTTAGTAAATCACCCCCTTTGTATCTCTACACAAAACTACTGTGTATCAGGATGGATACAGTGTGGCAAACCTATACCTTACGAAGGCAGAAATAGAGCCCCAAAGCACATTGACATGAACATCAATCAGGTTAGAATCTGTGAACTATTACCCAGCATTCCTGGTTTTAACTACTAGTGAATGTACTTTTATATTGCTTTGATCATCTTTATGGTTTTATATACTGTTTATATACACATGTAACAATAATATTTTTTAAGTATTTATACCTTTTTTACCACTTTTAGAATTTGTTTTTATTGTTCTTTGCCTCTAAATGTTTAATGCTGTTCATTTATATATAGGTTTTATAACAAGGATCACCATTTGTTTAATTATCATCAGTTTAGTTAATAAATGTCAGATTTACTCATTGATTGATTCTCTTTCCTCTTCTCCCCTCCCAGTAAATCCTGCTGCGCAGAGGATTACATTAGCCTAATATAAAAGCAGATTGAGGTTCCTTTTAAAAATACATTTAAGTATCTTTTAATGAATGCATAACTGGATTAAATTGGTCTATACATCGGTCAACAGTTCTAGGCTTAAAAACAATACATAACTGCAATAAATGGGTTTGCAGTTAGTACTTACCTTTCCTGGAGAAAATGCTGCTCCAGGGTCCTTACTGTGCCAGCAATGCATCCAACAACCTAGATGTTTGGTCACATGACCACAATTTTAGTGGAGGGGTTTAGACTTCAGGCTTTTAAACAATGATTGGCACAGGAAGAAGGCCGAAGCAGCATTTTCTCCAGGAATGGTAAGTATTTCAGCTCTGTCTATTCATCCCAGCAATACAGACTGAAGTTAAGATTTGAGTTTAAAAGCTCTAAAGCTGAACTGCAGGCAAACAGATAAGTAAACAGATTAAGTACATAGCTGTTTTAGCTGCAGAGGGATATGTATTTTGGACCATCCAGTTAGGAGAGTTACTCAGCTCTGCCAAAAAGCACAACCATGTGGGGCAGTGAAGGAGACCTCATCTTTCTCTGCTGCAGTTAAGTAAAGCTAGCAGGTCTTGCCTGTCCTCCAGCCTGTGACTGGACAGTAATGGAGAAACAGCAAACTTATGAGTTCTTCAAATAGTAAAGTCCAAAACTGCACTCCAATCAGTGTTCTGACCAGAATTGGGTGCTTGTAGTAACAACGGATGGTGCTGTGCATTTTCTAAGTCATAAACAAAGAAGTGTCACCAACACTCCATGTAAGAATGATACAAAGTGATTATATTTCCATAATATCACGCAGATCATACAGCCAACGTTTCGGGGCCACACAAGGTCCTTTCCCCAGGGGGACACAGTTATTGTGGCTATGACAAGTCACCACTAGAGTGGGAAAATGTTGCAACCCTTATCAGTTTTTATTACTGTGTCCCCTCTAGGGAGATTCACCTTTTCTATTTGTCTTGATGACCATGTACATTGGGACAGCCAATAGTAGGCAAATTAAAAATGGAAAGGAAGTAAAGTGGCACACCGATGATGTCACTGTGATTAGAGACAACTTTATTCAGCCAAAAACAAATGCTGCTTGGTCCCACCTCGGATCCACCCCTCTCTGATGCACTTCACCCTCACAAGCTTAATCCTGGAGATTTCTACAATCAGTGTGCAGTCTTACTTGCTTTCTAGACTGTGTGCTTTAAAGTGACAGGCACGCTCCAGAGGCGGGCACCCAGTGTCCCCCATTTGCATGACCAGTGGATGCCATAGTGACAAGGTGGAGCGTCAGAAGTTTGCCGCAGAAAATTCATAATGTTACAGTTGTCATCGGAACAGGAGGTGAGGGCAAATCTTTCAATACTGTTCCAGTGTCAGTGGTCTAAGGCCTAGTCCACACCTGAGCGTATAGAGACGCACGGAAACGCGCAAAACACGAAAGTCAATGCATTCCAATGTGAAGCATTCACACCTGCGTGTTCAGTACGGGCGGACAAAAAAAACGTGCTAAGCGAGAAAAGCTACATCCACGATTTTCCTGTTAATTAAATGTTTATTCAAAGTTTTTTTTCCGCGTGTATAAACCGCGCAAAAAACGTGCTGAAGTGCACACGCTCAGATGTGAAAGGAACCTTAGAAGATATTTCCCCACATTATCAATGGATTTATCATATTTTCTGTTGTGTCTCTGGAACAGCAAAATAAATTTCCCTAATAGGACACAGAGAGCAAAAAAAAATGACAGGGGTTTAACTATTTCCTTACTCAATCCAAAACTCAAAAAAACTGTCTTTCGATTAACTTACTAACACTAACAAAACACTTCCGTCACTGACGTTAACAGTTGTGCCTTCTCCCCACTGCAGCCATGATGACGTCACGCAGGGCAGTCTCACTCATCCTTTTGCATCCACCCAACCATGAGTGTCAGACCTATTTTTGATGCCAGCAGCTTATGGGTAAAGACAAGGGTTCAGGTTCAGGTCTTTCCTCAGGAGTCAAAGAAATATGTAACAACCTGTTAAATGATTCAACATTTACTAAAAACAAGCATTTCATTTTTAGGGGGAAATAAAACTTAAAATTAAAGTGGAACTTTTAATTCTAGGTGAAGACTGTACTGGTAAATACTTATAAACCAATAGGCTCACAGGATTTTCTAGCTACTGTACAGTTCAATTATACTGGTATCTACAAACATCTACGTGCTTGACTATTCATAGGTAAGTTAATAAATATAGATACACAGCAAGAAAAAACTAATTTTCAATTATTCCCATAGTAAAAAATTGTGCTGTATTATCATGGCAGGCTGTTTATTGTAGTTACTGAGAGTAGGATGGGATATAGACAGAGAGCATCTGGCGGAAATACGACATGGCTAAATCTGCTCAGGGCTGAAATCTCCCTTCATTAAAAAGATATAGGTATCACTAAGCCCTTTACCCAGGCACTTCTGAAAGGTGTAGAACAAGGGGCTGGATTTCCAATCTCTGATGTAATAGGTCACTTAAGAGTCTATAAAAGGTGAAGCAGACATTCTTGACATCTCTACTTTAGTTAAGCCCAGCAGAAGATTGAAGCCACTTATTATCTTACTGCAGCCACAGTTGACACATAGGGTAAGGTGTCACAGCCAGCATGGGGAACACCAAAAGTGGAGCCCTTTCGAAAGAAATCCTTGAAGACTTAAAACTGAACACAAAGTATTCAGAGGACGAGCTTTTCAACTGGTATGAGAGTTTCAAGAAGCAATGTCCAGATGGCAAGATAACACGGCCAGACTTTGAGAAGATCTACGCCAATTTCTTCCCCAATTCAGACCCGAAAACGTATGCCAGGCATGTTTTCCGCAGCTTTGACACAAATGATGATGGCACATTGGACTTCCGAGAGTACATCATTGCACTTCATCTAACCTCTTCTGGGAAAACCAGCCTCAAGCTAGAATGGGCATTTTCTTTGTTTGACGTGGACAGGAATGGTGAAGTCAGCAAAGTTGAAGTACTTGAGATTATCACAGTAAGTAGCGGTTCTTAATCGGGGATATTTCATGACATTTGATGACATTCAAGTAATATTGTCAGTAACTGGACCTCTATTCCATTGGTTGATTGTACAAAAACAGCAGCAAAAAAGCTCACTAGTAGTGGGACCCCACGCAAAAACTCACAAAAAAGTGGGTTTTCCCCTTCACATGGAATTGCCCCTTAAAATCAAGATTTCCCCCTTCCCTTCACATCAGAGTCATCCTTTGCATCAGTAGCACCCTTCAAAACAGGGGCCACCCTTTCAAATCAGAAGCCCCTGTGTCATATCTGAGTCCCCCCTTTCACATTAGAGTTCCTCCTTTACATCAGGAGCCACCATCACATCAGTCTTCATTCCCCCACTACCACAAAATTTTGAGGCATCCCTGAGAAGGCCAGAAGGCACACCAGGGTGCCACGGCAATCCTGGTTGAGAAAGGCTGGTCTAGACACATGGTGGTTGATTTACTAAAGGCAAACAGGCTGCTCGCTATGCAAGGGAATTAACCCCTGGCTTAGTGAATGTTGTGAAACTTCACATTGTAATGAATAACCAATCATATGCAAAGGGAAATACATTGAAAAACAGTATTTTTGTTTGCACAATTGGGTAATGGAAGTCACCAGAGCTTCACCTCATTCACTAAACTAAGCGAAAATTCCCTTGCAAAGTCAATAGCCTATTTATCTTTAGTAAATGAACCCCATGGACTTCAGATAGAATTAGCTATGCTGGGCTGAGCAGATCACATGTAAATGCAGACTCTAGTAATGTAAATATTCATCTTCCAGTGGCATCTGACAGCTGTACTGTTTTGATGCCCAACTGTTTAACCTCCCTGGCGGTATGATTCTTTTCTGTTTCGTCTTTTTTTTGGCTCGATTTTTTTTCGGATTTTTTTTTCCGTTAATCTCCCACCGGTTTAATGGTCTAATTAGCTTTAAATTTTTTATACTTTTGTAGATTAGTATAAAAGTAATGAATATTTTTTTGATTTTAAAAAATGCACCCAATAACACTGATACATGGAAACTAATAAGTGAATGTTATTTACTACTGAACAACACTTTACAGTCCAAGTTACTCAGATCTGTCTTCTTGCCTGCTTTCTAAGGAGTTAACATCAAGTCCCAGACTGTCTGAGAATATATGGATATGAATAGGCAATTGTAGATGGGGTGAGGCCTTTTCCTGTGCAAGTACAATCATTTGAAATCCAGCGGGCTATTTCCTTAAACATAAGCATTCACAGGCATGTGTTTGCAATGATATGCATCGTAACCTGATTGCACAAAGTTGAAGAAAGGACAAATAACAGTACACAGCTTTTCAAGATACAAAAAAAAAACAAAAAAACGTTTCATTAACTGTAAAATTTTCAGGAAAAATAGTTTACATAATCCAGACCCCTGCTGATTGTAATTTGGCTGTAATATTGTAGCTGCAACTGAGCTATTGTACTGTATATATTATACAGCATTTGTTTTAACAAGTAATAGCTATTGCTATTTGGGTTATTGCACAGTTGAAGATTAGATGTGTAAAATAATAGATGCTATTTAGGTTTTGAAGGCTATAAGGTGAATCATTTTCTAAAGTAATACTTTTTCCGCAGACCCGATGAACACATGTTCATGTCAAATAACCAGCCCGGTTTAAGGGAACCTTCAGGGTTGTTTTTATTACCCTCAAGTTTGTTTGGATGTGTTTGCTGGACCCCTTTAAACAGTTAATCATCCACTTAGTGAACGATAACTCTTATATGGTATTCGAAATTTAAATAAATTAGTCTTACAATAATCTCCTGAATCTTATATTAATTGTCTTGGAACATTTAGGCCAATAAATTCAATTAATGATTGTGAAACACCTCTATATGACCAGGTGGGGACATCTACAGGTAATGTGCAGGTAATGACAGCTATAAATCACATAAAAATAAAAAAAAACATAGCTAAGCTGCTAACATAACATCATGTTAAAAGGAATATGATATAATAAAATACTGTCCCAGCTATAGGGTCCTTATGCCTCATCATACACAAATGGAAGAATTCCAAAAATTAGGTCTTGTTTGTGGCCATTACTCCTAATTATGTCACATTTGTCAACGATGGGGGTGGGCACAGATACAGCATGGCTTCTACTACCTCTCAATGATTTTAAAGTACACCCATCATGTCAATTCCCTATCTCTATACTTGTACAAGGTCTCAGCTCTGACACCAATGCATGAACATGACAGCCAGGAAAATGGCATTTATAGAAGTCGGGCTACAATGGCATCCTATTTTTATTAAATTAAGGATATTCAGAAAGGCAGACTAGAGCAACAAATGATCCTGGAGTCCACTTTTGGAGATCGGATACATTGCATATACATTGTTATAAATATAAATGATAAAATAGGTTATATTTAGACATCTCAACAGCTCTGCCCTTACAGACATTTAAAACTTTTTTTTTAGACCAGGGTAATCTTAATCTTGCACAATGTGCCCAACAATTTCCAACAATTTTACCGGAAGACAAAAGTGTCCACGAAGTGCAAGATGTGACTAGGATACAGCTGATTTGACCAAAGTGCGAGAGACTTGAGACCCATGGATACCCATGTGGCAGTAAAAAGTTGAAGCTGTTTTTAAACTTTGGGATGACATCTAGTATACTCACACATGCAGCTCTCTCAGTCTCCCATTTGCCTCCTCTGCAACAGCCAAAGTGTGCCAAGTGCCCGCTTATCATGCTAGACAGATTTCTCTTCTGCACACATCCTTAACAGATAGTCAAATTGTTTAGATCTTATACTCACCATCATCATCATTGTCATCATTCAATCTCAATATATCAGCAGTGCTGCTCAGAGTTTTCACTGTTGTCTTTTAAATACGTTTTTCTCTCAAATCTTTATCATCTTTTTCACTAAGGGGCTGATTTATATTGGGATTACCCAGCCTATAGCTCATTATTGCCACTAGAGGGAGCCAAGGAAAATATGAATTTTATATGCTCCTCGACTCCATCTAGTATCAGTAACACACTGTGAATGTCATTCTCTTAGCTAAATGCTCTGTAATCGATTTATAAAGCCCACGCCCCTGTACCTTTGAGGAGGCGTGGCCTCCCTCCAGGCATACCTGCATTAAATGTATCAACTGCATAAATGTGCTCCAATATGGAGACTCACAAAAATTAGAGTTAGGACCACAGAGGAGCCTTGACGAGGCACTGTGGCTTCCACATACTTTTCGCAAAAAGTTGTGCAACTAGGACCTCTGTTTTTAACGCATACTGTTAGACAGGGCAATTTGTTTTGTTGCAGGCTAGCCAGTAATTGTGCTGCAAAATGTTTGTGCTTTGTATGGATATGTTTATGACTTATGACATTCTGTGAAACAACCACAAGTTGGAGAAAAGCATTATTAAATGGTAAAAATATGTAGATACTTACCTGTGGCATTGATAGACACTATTAATATACATTCATTCCTGAATAGTAACTCAGTTTCTAAGTTTGGTTTGATGTTCCCCTATGACTAGTTTGCAGAATTAGAATTAAATAATGCTTTTCTATGGTGCACCCATGTCCTGCCAACAGATCGATTTACATGAACACAAAGAAGATTTACCTAAATTGATTTCTTATTCATTTTTAAAATGTGTGCCAGTGTCAGTAAAAACTTTGACCAGCGTCAGTGTAAACTCCATAATGCTTTCCTGAAGCTTTCCGAGGTTAAAGCTACTGTATAACGGGGCAATACATCTTAAAAATATACATAAATCGATCTCAAAATCTGTAGACCTCATAGACCTCTGTGCCCATTCCACAAGGTTCAGTTTACCTTTTGTGCTGTTTCCACACCATGACAAATAACCTACAGTGTTCATCTTTGTCATTGGCTGCTTAGCTGTCTGACGCCCAAGACTAACCTCCATGTTGTTTTTTCTGTGGTGTAGCTGCACCCTGTCTACACTTCTTCTATGGGAGAAAGAGATAGAAAGAATAAATTCACCTGTTTACCTATATGTGTACTACTGTCCAGTCTTCAAGGTTGAGGTCTGGTTTCCTATGTGGTTACTGCAAAACTCCATATGAAATGTGTCCATCTCTGTCCTATGCTGCTGTGGTGCCCTATAAAAGACAGTTTCGATCTTTGCCATTGTCAGTCTCTCTGCACAGTGGTAGGTGGTAATTCTTTAAACTTAGAAGACTTATGATACTTTCTGTGTACCAAGCTGATGCTACAGAATTTTTTTTAAAAAGGACCCCCAATATCCTCAAGAAAACACAGCTAGATGTGTGTTCTGCTAGTGGAATGTCTGTTGTAATTCAGTAGTAACATTGTCCTTTATGTTTCCATTATAAAATGAACACCATAAAGGAAGTAAAGGAATGTATAAGTCATAAGCACATAAATGGGCAAAAAAGGTACATTACCAACATAGCAGATTTAAGATATTTGCTCACCTTTAGAAAAAAAAGTAATAACAGAAAAGATTTTGATTGCCCCAAAATGTTATCAAAGTTCCCTATGTATATTAGGTCTTAAAGTGTACTTGTGCCTAGACTATGGACATTAAACTATTTACATATTCTTAATAAGCAGTAAAAAAAACAACTTTAAAATAAGCATCCCCTGACCACTCTAGCTTCTTGTATTGTGAAGTAATTTATCTTCAAAGGCCATACCCAAAAACAATCAGGTTTCAGTCAGTTTCTAACAGCTTTCTAGTTGGATTTACCACTAGGCAGAGTAGGCACGTGCCTACAGGCGCCCTCCATAGAAGGGTGCCATGCAGGTACCTACTTTACCTAATTCTCGGTGTGGTGTCAAGATTCAACACCAGCAAGGAGGGTCCATTCTGCACGAAATGCACCCTACTGCTGCAAGACATGCGGGGCCTACACGAATCACTGGCTTCCGCAAATGCAGGGGAAGGCTGCCCTGTAAAACGCCTGTCTGATGCAGAAAGGCATTTAGGGCAGCCCT